CCTGCTTCTCCCTCTCCCACTCCCCCTGCTTGTGTTCCCTCTCTCACTGTCTCTCTCTCTCTGTTGAATAAATAAATAAAATCTTTAAAAAAAAAAAAAAGACTACAAGGACACCTATTTTGGAATGTGCCAATTTTCAATACAATGACTCTATGAGAAGACCTTGAAAGCAGCTCTTGCAGTTTGGGTAGACAGAGTTGGAAGACACTGTATATACCACTAGTGGAAGTAGTGCCAAAGACTGAGACTGAAACTCACAACTGTTTCCCTTCAAAAGGATAAAGACAGCTGGAACCTGTGCTGGTCTGGGGGGCGGGCATCATTATATTACTGAGAGTTGAAACTCTAAGTGTCTTGCAGAGCTGAATTCATTGCCAGCTTCACCATTCCCTACATGACTTGGTGTAAGTTATTGAACTCTTAGTAGCCTTGGTTTCTTAATGTTCATTTAATCATTCAGTAAATATTAATGAGCATTTACTCTTAGAAACTATATTACAACTTGGGCATACCATGAATAATGAGAAACTTTGCCACTGTCTTCATTATAGCTTGACAAGGACTTTGTTCTTGACCGAACTGTAGTTTAGGCTGCTCTGAGTCCTTTTCTTGATTCGGCCTTAACCTTGCTCCCCACCTCCCCTCCATCTCTTGTCTTTGGCCTGCCCCTTTCAGTCTTGGCATAGAATCCTGATAAGTCATCTCCCTACCATTGATATCTGATCACTCTTGATATCTGATCAAGTTCTTCATTCCCCACTTTTAATATATAAGTCCTTGGCCAGCCTTTAGCAAGAATCTTCCTATTCTTGGTAACTCTCATTAATAATTTTCCATCTCCTGACCCCCTCAACTTGCTCCTTGGCTAAAAATCCCCACTTGTTTTATGCAGACTTGAGCCCAATCTCTCTCTCCTATTGCAATAGAAGCTTTCAAGATTATACCTTGAGTGACATTTTCCTTACCATTTTAACAAGTGTCAAATACTTTAACAAGCTTACAAAATAAAGTTAATGGCACAATCATCATAAGCTTGTTGTAAGTTTCAAATGAGATTGTATTTGTAAAGTTCTTGTCCAGGGTCTGGAATATAGTAAGCTCTTAACAAATTTGGGTATTTGATGATAATGATCATGATAGTGAAGACAATGACAGTGACTGTGGTCTGAAGAAAAGACTCAGAAAGCACTTAAGAAGTATCTTAAAATAAGCAAATGGTGTATCTTTGTGGCCATATTGGAAATAATACATACTGGCATGTGATCACAAAAGGAACTTTATGATGGTCAGTGATGTTTGATAATGACTAGAGGTAATGAGAATCTTATCCTTTTAAGTGTCTCATTGGAGGTCAAATGAATACTTCTCAGGGACTCTGCAGAGGTGATTCCTTTATTGAATGGCGTCTATCCACATTTTTAAACTTTTCTTTTTTAACAGCAAAATACTTTGTTTAATGACAATAGCAATATCAGTAATAATATTTACTGAGCACTAATTATGTGTCAGGTAGTTTTGGAATTGTTATATGGCTATTAACTTATTTAAATTTTAAAACTATGTTAGATAAATACTATTACTATCAATGACTTTACAAATAAAGGAAGAGAGGCACAAAGAAAATAGAGAAGTTGTCCAAGATCACAAGAGAGCATAGTGGAACTGAAAAATGTTGTATAGAAGCATAATACACTAAACAGACAACAGACGTTCTCCATTACTTGAAGGACTGTGGCAGCTTGGCTTCCTTGTCCCCATCTTCCCATAATGGCCCTTGAGTCACACTCATGGAGTCCCTAGGGGTCCACAGGATAATTTGAAGATCTCTAGTCTAGGAGAGAAGTTCCCAAATTCCACCCTCAGACAGCAACTCCAGCAGGTGGGTCCATAGGGGTTCAGTGAGGAAAGTACTACTTGAGGGAGAGCTTATCTGGATCAGAGCCTCAGCCTGGCTGGTTATAAGAGTGTGAACGCAGAAGGGAGAATGCAGAAAAACAGGATGATTTAGAAGGAGCAAGTTCACACAGAGTTCCAGGGCCATAAAGGAGATTCTCTAGTTCAGGGAATAAAGCAGTCATCTGAATTGAAGCCCAAGAAGAACTGAATCTCAAGATTTTAGATACAAGATTAGAGGAGAACTAATATAGAGGTTATTCTCTGGAGGGTGTCAGAGGGCTGGGCTGGCTGAGGCTATAATTGCTAAAACCTCTTCTACTTCTGAGGAAGACTGGCCAGAGTTTAGGAGCCATTGATGTGCATGCATGGGTTAAGTGGTCACCTCTGGAGGGGAAATGTTGCAGGATCTGGGAATCAGGAAAACTTTGACACAAAGTCCCTTGAGCTCTTCAGAAATGTCTTTCCACACAATGGCAGTCCTTTCCTGCTAATAAGCTAGACCTTTTAGCCAGCCCTGAGTTACACTGAGAAAAGGAAGAAGAACAAGAAGAAGAAGAAGAAGAACAAGAACAAGAACAAGAAGAACAAGAAGAAGAACAAGAAGAAGAGGAGGAGGAGGAAGAGGAGGAGGAGGAGGAGGAAGGCAAAGGGAAAGGGGATAGGTAGGGGAAGAAGAAGAGGCAGAGCAGAAGCAGCAGCTTAAAATGTCACTGTGAATTGAGGGTTGTTTTTTTTTTTTTTCTCCTAAGGAATTCTGAACTATTTTCAGCATGTATTGGTGGGGAGAGGGGAGGTGGGGAGAACCTTATGGTTTATTTGGGAATTTACTTAAGAACTCAGCCTGTGTGGCATATCCTTCCCATATTCTCTTGCTATTTCCCATTCTGAAGTCACTTCTGTGCCTTTACTTTGCTTTCTTGGAGAAACAGTTCTATCAAATTACTAGTACCTGTTTTGCATAACAATTAGGAAGAACACATTTTTGAATTTTAACTTTTTGTTTTGAAATAATTGTTGCAAGACTAGAACAAAGAACTTGTCATGTACTCTTCACCTCAAGACTCCATTTTGCCATTTGTGTCAATAATGCCTTTATAACAGGATGATCTAATCCAATCAGATTGTATAAAAAACTCTAACAGAAATTAACTCAAAATGGATGAAAGAGTTAATGTAATAGTTGTAAGTATACGAGTCTTAGAATAAAACAGGCATAAACCTTTGGATGGGCAGTGGTTTCTTAGATATGACACTAAAAATATAATAAAAGGGAAAATAGATAAATTGGATTTTGTCAAAATCCAAATTTTGTGCTTGATAGGACAGCCCACAGAATGGGAGAAAATATTTGCAAATCATAGATCTGATAAAGGAAAAAAAATATTCAGAATATATAAAGCTAAACAGAATATATGCAGTTCAACAATAACCAGACAAATAATCTAGCTAAAAAATGAGCAACGGGTTTAAATAAACATTTTTCCAAAGGATATATACAAATGGCCAATAAAGCCATTAAAATATGCTC